AACTGCTTGCAAAGTCTCTTAATAGACTATTTATACTAGGGTTACAGTAGACCTTAGCATTCTAGCCCTTGATTACTTCAATAACTATTTAATGCTAAACCTTAAAAGTACTTAAAAAGTCACATGACAGTAGCATGGCTATTTTACAAGACTAAGACTATAACTATCATCTACCAAATAATATAAAACATAAAAATTAAATAAGACACATTGGAAAATAAGCAAATAACTAAAACCCAAGCCTAGTTGGCTAGCGGCCCGGTTAGTCTTGGAAAGCCTTTTAGTTGCTCCTGCATCAGACAATAAGGCATTTATAGCGCGCACACAAACTAAACCACTAATCTGATAGTACGAGAAAAAAAATATATATAGTACGAGAAAAAAAAAAAATATATATATATATATATAGTGGTTTAGTTTGTGTGCGCACTATAAATGCCTTATTGTCTGATGGAGGAGCATCTAAAAGGCTCTCCAAGATATATATATATCTATAGGTTTGCATTTTGCAAAGCATCCTGTGTCAACTTTCTCCTTCTCCAGTTAGTAGTTATAAAATGCTCGTGAGTCATAAGAACCTACTCAAGTAGCAAAATATACTGCTAACAAACTTTAAGAAGAAAATATGGTGTTACCTCGAGTAAATAAAAAAAAAAAAAACAACAACAACAAAAAATTCAGGTAAAAAAAAAAAAAAGAAAAAAGAAAAAAGAAAAAAGCCGCTAACTTCAAAGTATGATGCAATTAAAATAGGTAATTTCTAGTTTTGTTGCATCACTTGCATGCACATATAAAACTCAACAAATTAAGCCATTATTATTTTATGTCAGATATTAGAACCTACTGGTTACAATGAAGCCAATTCAAATGATTAGTATATAGCATTTGTATTTACCTTGACCAATACATCTATGAAACCAAGCAGCAGATTAATTGGAAGATTTAAAACTACAAGAAGAGAGAACTAATAATCCTTGAAGTGTCCCGGTCCTATTCAGTACAGTCTTAACGATTGCTAATATTCCAGAAGAACATATTCAGTCCGTTGTAGTATCATACCAAATCAAACTGGATATGAATTGTCATGTTTCTTTGTGCTGGTGGGGGTGGGGGGCGGAGGGGTGTTAAGACGAACCACAAAACAAGTACTAAAAAGCAGACAAGCGTACCAATACATAATAATAACAATAAGCTTACATTTGATATTGCATAAGCTGTACAATTTGACCAACAGACCATGTAAATGCACATATGACAAAACTGACTTGTGTTCATCATCAGAAACCAACAGACCATGTCAATGCACATATAACATAATTGACTTATGTTCATTATCAGAACAGGAGAACACCCAGTAAGTCTATTTGGATCCTCTCCAATTTTAAAGATGCACTCTTTTCTAGATCTAATCTTTCACATAAGATGGTGCATGATACCATAGTGGCAAGCAGCCAATAAATACAACACATTTATCATCATCACAATCCTTGTCTTTATCTCATATAAATGGGGTCGGACAAATGAATTTTTTCTTTTTCACTCTTTTCTATTACAAGTCATTTTTCCTGTTGTATTTATTTTCTAAAGTCATTTCCTTCATTAATCCCTTTTTAGTTTTGATTGGCCCCTTTCTCTTCCCTTCTTTACAAACTAATCTTCGTTTTTCTCACAGGTGCATTTGCAAGTCCACATTGGATGTGTCCATAAAACCTAAGATTGCTTTCTCTTACTTTGTTACTGATAGTAACAACACCTAATTTCTCCATCACTTGTTGATATATTAATCTTATCTCTTCTAGTGACTCCTATCATCCATTCAATATTCTCATTTCAGCTACATGAAGGTGTTCTTGTTTCAAACACAACACATTTATTAAAAAAAATTAATTTTTTTTTTTAGATTTGTTACCTCATAACTAACTATGATGCACCAACACTTCATAGGAGTTGTTGCGTCAATGTCTGAACATGCGCTGCGCATGAGATGATGACTCCACACAAGACACCTAGAAATTTGTTGGATACTTGCATACAGAAGACGAAAAAGTGGCATTTGATACCTAATACATGAAGAAGAGGAGAAACGGAAGAGAGGGAGAGAGGGGGAGGATATAGAAGATGAAATAGAGAGATGAAATTTAAGGAGGGTATCTATAATTATTATTCAGTCATAAAAATGAAAGGAAAAAAAAAAAATCCTATTACAAAAGGCGTATTTATAAGCAAGCCCTAGTTACTAAATTTGGCCGTTAGCTCATTTTCTTTGATATCAAAGCAGAAGACAAAACGAATATAGTTGTAAAAGAGAGAAATAATAAGGGAGTAGAGTAAGGTATACAATAAAAATAAATCTATATGAAAAAGATATTTGTTGAGCTTCATCTTTCAAGTCATTTTTATAATACACAAATATGAACAAATTAATCAAGATTATATAAGTGTCCAACACAAAATACAGATTAAACAAGATGTCTTTGATGCGTACATGTCAATATGATTTTTAAGTATTTATTATATCAACGTATCCGAATCATGGCATGTCAATATCTGCATTACCTAGCAGACTACCAATCCAAAACAGAGACCGTACATGAATGTAAGTTCTCACAACTACAAACTTGTGAAAACCCTATGGGTTTCAAGGACAAAAAGAAGATATTTGCCTTTATCCTGAACATCTCAAAGTAATTGACCTCTACAAACAAACGAAAAGGAATAGCATTTACAAATAATTGATACACGCATGACCTAACAACACATATGAGTAGCCAAAAACCTGAACACAATTGGGAAAACTACAGAGTGAATAAAAATAGGTAATCATGAGCCTACTTATTCATATCAAATTAATTACCAATTTGTATGTTAAGAACTGTGTATATATTACATTGTGGATCTAAGTTACGATATCATTGAAAAAAGAAAAGAAAAGAAAAAAAAGAAACCATAAATTGAAAGATATAGAAACATACGTGCAAAAAGAATCAAATAGTTGGGGATTAAAATCCAAAACAGTAAAATGTTACATACATGAAAAATTAAGTACCGCATGTTCATTCTTTAAAATCCAACATTCTTCATAATATAACATTTTATTCCACTCCAGCTATTCATAAAGCAAAACCAGAAACTTTATATACCTACATAAGTTATAAATACTCCCCATTTATTCATCAAAACAAACAAATAAATAAATAAAGAACATGTAGCGGCGGAAGTTTAATCTACCTATGTTAAACAATTGTTGAAATATTTATTCTAATGTGTGAATTCATATTTAGGTTCCAAGTACAAATTCTAAAACTTTTAAAAGTTCATTTCCGATAACAAATTTTCTGCATGCCTTAAAAAATATTCAAATACTTAAGAATCAATTCCCTCATGTAGACGTGGTGAACAGAAATATGAGATTGGGCACCTTGGAGATGAGATATTTTTCATAAAAGAGGCAAAAGAAAGCAGAAAAGAGACTCCAAATATCTTATTCTAAGTACCTAGAAAAGAAGACTTCTATAATAAAAGGCTTAGTATTGATTTTTCAATTTTTTCTGAAAAATTTAAAAATAAACCATATAGATTTATTTATTTATTTATTTTTATTTTTTATTTTTTATTTTTTGATAAGTACGATTTCATTAAATGATGCTCAAAGCCTCAAAAGGGGAGCGAACCCTAAAAATGCAATGACGCACAAGGTGACACTATAATTTCAAGCTATCCATAAACTCCAAAAGATGATCTAAAGATTTACAATTTGTCCCATTGACCCAAACGAATAAAGAAGAAAGTATGTTATATTTGAGAGACCAAATAGGTGACTCCTCTCCATCAAAGGATCTCCTATTCGTCTCACACCACAAACCCCACCATAAACAGAGGGGGTGGCCCTCCACGCATCCCTGGCTCGGCTCCACTATACAATTAAGGAAGGAACAATGCTCGATTAAAAGCACACACACAGAGAAGGATGATGACACATAATGCTAGAGACTGGATGGTCCAAAAAAGCAAAAGGGTATTTACCGATCAAAAGTTATAAAAAAAATTAAATAAATAAAAATAATAAAAAATATATGTATCTGAGTGGAAACATAAAACATCTATGGTGCATCTAAGTGGGGAATAGGGATTCCCTCCATTTTTTTAAGGATGGGGATTTCACCAATAAGAACCCTGCTTAGGGAACAAGAACTGAAAAAAGATTGAATTACCAAACAGAGAAGAAGAGTAAGATCTCTAAGGAAATGTTGATGATGATGCTGGTAATGTAGAGGGTGATAGTGATTATGTGAAGAAATTGATAAGAGGAAATCCAAAAGATCCTAGGTATAAGAAATTAAATGACATGAACAAGTAAACTCACCTTTGCTAAATTCGGCAGCAATTCAGGACGGCAAGATGAGGTGAAGCGAGATGACAGCGCTTGAGAAATTAGGGTTAGGATGTGATAATGAAACTAAGAGAATAAATAAGTGAGCAATAGAAACACATTAAGAAGGGAAAATCAATTATTTCAAAAGGAAACAAGGAGATTGTGGTAAATTAATACATTGTCAAGAGAGGGTGACAGATCTCCCTTAAACCTGTCCGCGAATAAACCCGAGCAGGCTTTACTCTCTATTCCCAAACCCAACCCTATGTCGTTTACAATATTCCAAGACCCATCCCTGCCAGGTTACCCAGTTGCTGTCATTACTATTCGTCATTGGATAACAAACAACTATACTATCATCATTCTTACCTTAATTCCATATGGACAGAATCAACCAAAGAAAGAAATTAGTGGAGGACAAACAATTATATACTATAAAAAAATACATAGAATGCCTTCTATTCATATCATTAGGCCAAAATTATCATTTGTGATGCAAAACCAAGACATGCACACTACATTCTTCAAGGTGACTAGTCATTTATGTAGCATCTCATGGTGGCAATCTCAAAAAATGAAATTTATCACAAGGAAAATAGAGTTGCAAAATGGGCGTGAAATTTTTTATTGCAGTTCACAAAATATTGACGTGGCACATTGCTCTTAAAGTCATCCAACCATGTCAAGGATTGTCAGTTCTTCACAATGAATAAAATTCCTGAGATACTATGCTTTCCATAAATGTTAACTGTTTATTTCGCAAATCTTGTGTCCATAAACATATCAAGATGAAGTTTACAACCTTGCCAAAAAGTAGTACTTTAGTCACCGAATGTAGGACAGAACTCTCTCTTGGAAAGCTTGATAATTAATAATCTTAAATAACCAGCTGCTGATCCAACACTAAATCATGCAAGGAATTGATGCATCCTAAATCCAACAACAGGTGACTCAACTTTTATGAAGGCTGAGACTTTAAAACATAACATAACTAAATTTGCAAGTGGGCAACTAAATTCTTACCATTTGAAAAAGTGGTGCGACCAACAGCAGCACATATGAAGGGCCTCTAAGAAGTATTAGAGCGATGAGCTCAAAGGTTCATCCCCATCCAAAGGACCCACAAATTCCTAACAGAGCACCACACTGACATTGCAACGGCCATAAATTCTGACACAGCTTTAATGGCTAATACTTTACAAGGTTTCAGGGGAGTTGACCGCAGATTTGACCAAGGTTTCATCTATGGGTGAAAACTCCAAACCTCATAAGAGGGCTGAGTAATTCACCCAATGTATTAAATCCATCCAAAAAAGGAAAAAAGAAAAATTCAATGCTGGCCATATTAACTCAAGAAAAGAGGGAAAATAAGGGAGGGGGGAAGGAACATAAAAATTTATATAAAACTAATATGAAGAGGAGAGCCTAGAAAAAGGCACATTCTTTCGCAACAACAGGGGAAGGAAAAAAAAAAAAGGATGGTAAACTCATCAGCAACTTACTGCTTAAAATGAAAGTTTGCCATCCTCAAAGGTGACAAGTTTGTCCTCTGTAAACTCACAATTGCAAATGGAGAAATCAGGCGGAATCTGCAGCTTCTTCACAAGCAGCACTTCTAGCTATTCAGATAGGTAACCACAAATCCATTCATTCAAAGCATGCCCAGTTGACCTGTGCAATGCACATGGTTAAGTGACTGCATGAGTTAAGTCCGAATTCACAATGAGAAAAAATTGTGAGACAACACAATCCTGGCTAAAAGCTTTATCATCAACAGCACAATAAGCTTTCTATTTTACACCTGCTTAGATTTGTTGGCAAGGCTGGCTAGCCAAGACTAACATTTACCTCATCAGCTTTCGAGTTTCTGACTTGAGAACAGCACCCTTTAGTAGCTTCTATTGATTTCTCAAGTTTAAATCAGAATCGGCACCACACTCCTACATTTTTCTAACACATAACAGTCTTACTAATTACCAAATACAGAAGTACAGGAAATACCAGTCATAATGAAAATTTTTGCTTGGGCAGAAAGTGTTCCTGGGACCAACTCCTAATTACCCCTACTATCAAGATGGCACAATGCAGATAAAAAGAAGATTTGATTCTCCCTTCTAGGTTAGCAGGCTTATGTACTTCACTTCAACCAGAATTCTTCATTTTATCTTGTGCATTTTCAGAAGGATTGAGCATAAAGACTACCCCTGCACCATAAATCTCTGCAGGCTGCCAGGTGTTCACAACAATGACTGGTCCAAAAAAAAAAAAAAAATTGCTGTTCTGATAGGGTAGCACCCAAACAAGCTAGTGAACATTAGCTAATACCGTGAGCCTTCCATCCACAATCCCGTACTAGCAGAGATGGAATACCAAGGTAGGTCTTAGGTGACTTTGTAATGAGTGAAGCAACCTATTTCAGTTCTCTTTTTCACCAGCAACCTAAAATCACTGCCCATCCTGCACCTCACTTTTGAATACTGAATTTCAGAAGATCCCATTAATCAGATTTTGCTTGATCTGTTCGTCACATTGTTTCAATGTCAGACTTAAACCCAAACTTGCAAGCCACAATGAGAAATCAAAATTTGCATCATCTTTTAGGTACTTCCATTGCATCTTGGCTGACCCCATCCATATGGGAAAACGGCAAGGATGATGATGATGTACTTCCACTGCATCTATTGTATATATATTTTTTATCTTCTTTTAATATATCTATTGTACATCACTAAATATTGACAGACCATCGTCAGTATGCACCCCAAATACCAGATTATGTACAACAAAGTAATCCAGGATCCAACATTAACAAGTTCCACTTCAGGCATTCACAATAAATTTAGTATAATAGGATACTTCAAGTCTGAAATTATTATCAATGCAATTAAAGTCATAAAATGAAGTAAATCGTGCATGTTCACTTATACTGATATGTTTTACATAAACTCTTCCAAAATGAAAATAAATAAATAAAAAAAGTCGAAGAAGGAAAATCAGAAATGTTCTAGTTTTGGTCAAATTTGTTTCGCTGTTTAATTTAATGATAAAGAGATAAAAATCAAGAGATGGTCAGGCAAATAGTACTACAAACAAGGAAAGAAAATATCGAAAAGAGTGCTTTGAGATGAGCAATAAACATTTACCATCTAGATTCATCTTCCTTCCTTTTGGCTCTTGCATTCATGTAGTGACAGGTAACCTGCATCGCTATTCATGGTTCTACAATAACAGAGGTAAAATCTTTAACATTCATTACAAGCTGAACAAGTTTAATCTTCAATGCCAAATACATCAATGTAAATCAATTGTGCTCAAGCTAATCAATAACAATATTTCAAACGAGTAAAACTTCATAACAGACAGCTCACCTGCAGTAGGATCATATAAAGCTCAAGCTAACACCACGGCATGCTCACGAAAAAAAATCAATCCCAAGTTCCGGGCCAAGGACATTAATCAGTAGTTTATACATTTGGCATATACCCACTCTCCACTTTCCAGATTTGAGGTTTCCCACTGAGAAAGCCAAATTTTCCTCAGAAAATCCAACTTTTTCTTCTGTTACATCTTCATTATATATTTTAGTTACCCACATGAGTAACTGCTTCAAATCAAGATGGAAGATTGACTAAGCTTCGATTATATATGAAATTATAGTCTGATTGTTATACAGAATTGAAGTTTCAACAATTTCTGATAGCATAGAGTTTAAATATGCTTAAACCCAACAAATTTTTCTAAAACATTTAGCCCAAGACTCTTTTAACATCATAATCCTTCTTAATCAAACGAAAAAAGTCTGAGTTTGAAAAATAGCAACTCAATACTCTCAAAGAATAATCCTTCAAATGAAAATCGACGATCACATCAACTCTATGGGAACCTATAATTTCTGCAAACTCAAGTTCGTCACTTTTGGACAAAAACCTAACCCTATTAATGCTATTTCACGATACTGACACGTTATCTGGTGAAAGTATATATATATATATATGTGTGTGTGTGTATATATGTATTCACGCGATGGACGAAATGCATTCACGATACCAGAAGAACCGATTACTCAGAACACTTCGAAATTAGGGTTTTCATTTAAACAAAAAAATGGATGATCGACTGAGAATCCTCCAGGTAACCGCGCTAAAATGCGCTGGTTGGCCAATTAAAATGATCTTTTGAATGGGTCACAATTGGAATTTTTAGGCTTGGGCTACGCTGAAGCCTCTTAATTAACAGGGCTTACCTGTTATATCTTGGGTTGCTCCGATGGACTCCCTACTTTTTTGTTTCCCTTAGGACCATTCCCCCTTTTGTTCTTGGGCCAGATAGCTCATCCTCTGTACTTTTTTTCTCACATATATAATATATTGCTTTATTTTTTTCAAAAAAAAAAAAAACATGAATTCCTTTTCTGACTCCATTTTCAAATTCAATTAATTGGTTAAATTGAAATACAAAGTGGTATTCAGTTGAAGTTTTGACATTATTAAATCTAACTTTCTCCGACTATTCAGTCGGAATTAAGCATAAGAACAAGGTTTAAATCAACAAGCAGTTACTTGTGTAAAATAATATTAAAATTAAGTTTTGTTTCAATTTCAATAAATTGAGTCCAATAAGAACTTTTGTCAACTCCTAATTAAGAATAATAAATTATCTCTAACTGTATATTTCAATCATTATTTGTTACATTAGTCAATTCGATTACTATTGATAGACAAGTTTCTCTCTTTCCTAAGGGAAGTCATTATGTGGCTCAGAAATCTGGAGTTTAAATTTTCGACTTTAAATTTTCATAGAGGCAGACTCCTGATAAAAATAAATAACTGTATTCTGATGATGATTAAAAAATCATATCATTACATAGAGCTACAGATTAAAATAAGTAACTTTATTCAATAATGATAAAGATCATATCATTTTTCATCTTTCCCTTTGAATATATGTCTTGTTTAATAGCAGGGACTAATTAATACTGAATAATGAGCTTATGTACAAAAATTAAAACAAAAATGAAGAGAGTAACAAATCCATGGATCCTCAGAAGTCATAGAACCGCAAATAACCTCTCTTCATGTTTGAAACCATTCGTGTGAGGACAGTCGATTACTAAAATTTTATCATGCAATATTATTGTGGTTTATCCAAAATATTGGTGTACGCATGTATATATAAACCATGAAAGTAAAAAGAAATTAAGGTGTTATTAAAAGTTTCATATATTATCATATTATTTTATTCAAGCCAACTTAACTTATCTTGTATCAACATAGAGCCCTTATGGACATTTTTACAAGTAATATGTGGCTTTCATATCCAACCATCCTCTTGGATTGAGTTAATCACATGCACCTCTCACCAAATTGAGTTTGGCGTCTTTGGTTTACAATATTTGGACGGAGCGTAATAGGAGTATTTTCCAGAAGAAGCATCTACATCTCACATTGGAATCCATTCGATCCAAGCTACTATATTCATGATTCATATAATGCTAGAAGAGTTGCAGCAGAATGGGAACTCCCAGAAAGCATTGCAAGAACTTATTGAAGCTTCAAGCTTGCAGCAGGGTATGAGCCCCATGTTCACTGGATTGCAAGGAAGACTATGACGGTCAGATATTGAGCATTTGAATGATGTTCTTGTGTGTAATTGGGTTATTGGGTTAATGTAGTTTTGGGCCTATTGCGGTTGTTGGTGTTGGGCCAGGTTGGGGTTGTAATACTGTTCATATATATTTATAAATTGAAATCTTGTTTATAAAAAATATATAGAGAGTCGCCAATACGATAACAATTACGATCACTCGTATGTATAATCGTGCATGTCAAATAAGTAAACGACGGTGATGTTACAGCAGCGAATCCGGTCTCCTAAACATACCACCTAATTATTGTCGACCTTATTAGATAGAGTACTAGACACTCATCGAACATGACACATATATAGTGACACAAACTCTTCACTAAGCCACACTTTCATAGGTTTATTCCTCAGTCTTATCAACTGGTGCAGCTTCTTTGTCAACTTCCTCTTCTGCAGCTTCAGCTTGTTTCTCTTCTTCCCGAGCAACTTCCTCTTTTGGAGATTCAGCCTCTGGTTCTGGTGGCGCCGCTACCTCGGCAGAATCAGTAGTTTCCTCCACCACTGGCTCTTTCTCCACCTTTGGTGTCTCTTCTTCTGTTTTCTCCACCACTACTTGCTCTTCAGGTGCAACCTTAGCCTCTTTTAGTTCCTCCTTAGTCTCAACTTCCGGAGCCTCTAGTACTTCTTCCGATACAGCAGTAGTCTTGGGTTCCTTTGGCTCTTCTGGTGCAGGCTCGGGTGTAGTAGTACTAGTAGTCACTACCTCTTCTGTGGTGGTTTCTTGAGCCTTGTTTGATTCCTCTGGTTTCTCCTCTGGGAGTGCTGTTGTTGCTGATACAACCTATATATATATATATATGTATGTATGGGACCAATATAATAATCAAAGGCTAAAGAAATAATTTCTAAAATGCAACACGTACTAAAAAAAATTGTAAATAGATCACGTTAATTAAGAACTGTATGAGCTATGTAGATCATTCAGACCTTCAATATAGCCAGTTCAATTAATCAACCAAACTAATGATATTTTGGCTATACCTATAACCACTGCTATATATATCCCTAAATATTGATTCTTATTACTATTATAATTAGTGTATGCATATAATAAAAGCTAGAGTATTAATTAATTAAGAATATGGTAGAATAAAATAGGGAAAATTACATATAAATGGAGTCAAAGTTCCATATTTACTTAGAGGCTGAGTCAAAGTTCCATATTTCTCTAAAATGAATTGCTGAGGTGGCACATGGTTTTTTACTGTTTAGAAATTGTGGTGCCTAAAATACCCTTCCGCGAAGGTACTACTTTTTCTTCGAAGGTACTACTTTTTTGAACTGAAGGTACTACTTTTTTGTTAGGGAAGGGCATTTTAGGCACCACAATTTTCTAAACAGTAAAAAACCATGTGCCACCTCAGCAATCCATTTTAGAAAAATATGGAACTTTGACTCAGTCTCTAAGTAAATATGAACTTTAACTCCATTTATATGTAATTTTCCCAATAAAATAAGCTAAAAAAATTCATTCTATATATAACGAGCATGGATATGATTATTAACTGATAGGTTACCATAAGTTAGACCAGCAAAAATATAGGACTTTTACTTTGTAATCACTCTTGTTTTTCATGTTAATTAAGAATCTGCATAGGATCAGAACCCTACCCCACACACACAAATGGTGATAAAAAAAATGGGATAGAAAATGAAAATTATGAAACAAAGAGGCATGCATTCGATCTTATTGACAAATGTACTAATAAAATTGGATCATATATATATATAATTCAAGCTGTATAATAAATATGGCAGGAGTTAAAAGTTACCTCAACAGTGGCCATTTGAAGTACAAAGAAGATTTTGAGAAGGAAAACAAGAATGATGAGGAAATAAATAGATAAAAGAAGGCTGTCTTATTACGAGATGATGAAGAGATGATAATTAAGTGATAGTAGAGGTATATATGTAGAGAGAGAGAGATATGAAAGAGAGGAAGAGAGGTGGGGACACTAGCTTGAAGATTAATTATGGGAACATGACATCTTATCTCACTGATTACAAGAAGAGTACTGGCATGTTCTCTACAATAATTAAAGTTAAACACAGAGTAGCTAATAGATGATGAGCTAGGTTTCGCAACTTTATAAAAAACTAGGAGTATTTGGTTGTAGTTTTCAATTTGAGAGACTGAAAATGAAGGCCATTTTCTTAAGGGATGTGATCTTCTCTTGGTTGTGTGTGCTTCTGTGCAATCTGCCAAGTAGGTGACCCTGTGAAAAAAGTTTGTGATATCATATCACTCAATCATCATCCACCCATGTTCTAATCTAAACAAATAATTATTGAAATTATGAAACAAATTTTACAATTAAAGGCCATTAATTATCCTTCCACCAACACGAGGTGATTGGACTCAGTAAATTAATTGAGATGAAACATTTTTTTTTTTTTAATTCTTTTGAACTAGTTAATTTCTTGCTCCCAACAATTTTTTTTGGGTAGGTCTCATACTCTAATTTTGTTTTATTATTACATTAATTAAGAATTGTAATCTGGGGTACTTTAAGAATAAAGTGAGTGAATGAGTGTCTATTTTACTTCATCACTAAACTAAACAGCTAAAGGAAAGAAAAGTAGCCCATGATCTCAATTGATATTACAAAACATGATCCATTTGTCAATCAAATGTTTCAATAAAGCCGGTTTAGGTCACAGCACAAACAAATAGTGCTAAGTCTGCTAGTCCTTTTGAAATGAGAGGTTGAGTTAACAAAATCTATTAAAGGCAATATTGTGGATATTTGACTGTTTATTTGAATTTTAAAATTTTAAATAAAAATATAAATACCGAAATGAATAATATATTGACGTGGCATCTAATTTTTTTTTTTTTGGGTGGAAATTCACATTTCGTTCTTTCATAATTCATCATAATTCATTTTTATGAATCAGCCCTAGTCTTTCCTTGAGCATCTAGGTGATATTATTAGATAGTTCCAATCTATTGACATTCGGTGGACAAATTAAATTTAAACTCTCCAATTAAAAAAATAATTCTACAAAAATATCTTGATATATTATAAAAAAATCTCAACACCAGCTTTTATTGAATTAATTCACCAAGTATAAACTAAACTAGAATGTCTGATGAACTTGGTCCAGCACCTATAGATTTGACATTCTATGACTTGGGGGTTGGGACCCACTTTCTTTCGGCTTCTCCAATCACCATATGATCGTCATCCTCGTGTGCCCTGTAAATGTCGGGCGTGAATCACTTGCAGTGATGTTTCCATGCAGTTTCCTGCTGTAACTTTTAAATGATTCATATTTGGCCACATCATTCTTCAGCTAACGGACACTAAGGCTGTGTTTGGCCAATTACACCACTATTTATAAGTAACATTTCACCATCATTTATAAGTAACATTTCATCACCATTTATAAGTAAAATCATATAGTCTAAAAAGTAACATGTAATATCACCATTTGTAAAAGGAAATATCACCACTTTTTTAACATCACCATTTGTAAAAGGGCAATATCACCACTTAAATAATAAACCATCTTCACCCTCAAAATAAAGTATGCACATAATACAAACTAAGTAATGTCACATATAAACATAACTCAATTCAACATATCATTTATGTTATTATTTGAAATTAAAAGTGGTGATATTTCCTTTTACAAATGGTGATATTACTTTTTAGACTATGTGATGTTATTTTTTAGAAGTGGTGAAATGTAAAAATAGTCTAAAAAATAACATCACCACCATTTATAAATAACATCACAGAAGTCTAAAAGTAATATCACATAGTCTAAAAAGTAACATCACCACTATTTATAACCATTTATAAGTAACATCACAAAAGTTTAAAAGTAATATCACATAGTCTAAAAGTAATATCATGTTTTGAGGGTGAAGATACTTACTAAATGGTGGTGATGTTACTTTTTAGACTATGTGATATTTCTTTTAAACTTCTATGATGTTTGTAGACACTAAAATTTTAGTGGACTTTAATTTGGACAAATGGACCCATTAAATATGGGCCTAATGTTTAATTAAGTTGTTTAATTGGCCCAAGTATGGTCCACTTAAATTATTTAATTAAGCCCAGTCTAGATGGTCAAATAAAAAGAATAATTATTCCTAATAAAATATATTTGGAATAATTATTTTTAAGGATAATTATCACAATATAACCGGCCCGGCCCAGTTATAGTTTTATCCTTATCAGGAGATGACACGTGTCATCATCCTATTAATCCAAGAAGCCTATAAATAGAGGCTTGGAGGAAGAAAAAGGGAGAGGATTCAAAATTCAGACACAAATTCAGAATTCAGAAGTTCAGAGACTCAGAAATCTAGAGACTCAGAATTCAGACACAAATTCAGAATCAAAACCCAAAAGCGAAGAACATCAAGCACATCCAACAACGTGCCATTCTTCATCAAATTCCACAGTGATTCAAGCCCTTGGATCCAACCAACCAAAAACAAGGAGATCGAATTAGAGGATCATTCTTTTTTTGTAAAAGATATTACAAAGGACTGTACTCCACATTCATAAATTAATAAATTCTATTTGCTCCATATTTTGTTTCTATTGCAGACTTACAAAATTTGTGTGTACAAATTTGTGGCATGCTCGGTGGGACAACCTTTGCCTCTCATCTCTTTCTCCTACCATCAAGTTTCTTCTCTATCAGATTCTATGGCTCCCCCTGAGATTCAGACAGACAAGAAAGCCCAAAAGAACATCGCTATTGCAAAGGTCGATGCTAAAGCCACCCTGAAAAGTGGCACGAAGACCAAATTAAGCGATGGAAGTACCTTGACGGGCCCTGTGACACGTAGCAAGTCCCAGGCGATGGCGTCATTCAAACTTCAGCAAGATGTGGTGAAAACTAATCCTGCAACACCGGCGAACGTGAAAACTCAACATGTCAAAAACCTTGACATTGTTCCAGAGGAGGCTCCACCACCAAATTCACTTCGTTCTATCTATGATGCTTACTCTAGTGTCGGTTTACCCCCAGAGTCACCACGTCAGACTTCGGAGCAATCAATCACTTCAAGGAACGTGGATTCTCAAGGCCTATCATACTCAGATGTGGTTGCTGCTATGATGACTGGAGCTGCTACGGTGGAGGAACAACTAGCAACTATGGCTCATTCCATTGAGAACCTCACAAAGACTATTGAAGCAAAGGACTTGCAAATCGCTACACTAATGAATAAATTGGAAGTTTAGACCTTCGGTGAAACACCAATGCCATCCGGGAATTGTGCAACTTTCACACCACCACCGTCTGGGAAACCTACATCTTCCACAGCAATACTAACGGAGAATCCTAATTCTACAGCACAAGGTACTCACAGGGAGAATCCCAAACAGACGCCGGTGACAGAACAAGCGACCAGTCAAAACCAGACGCCGGGGATAGAACAGGCGACTGGTCAAACCAATCATACCTCTTCTTCAGTCTCTTCATTATCTGTCGAACAATTGCAAGATATGATAACGAATACAATCCGAGCTCAATGTGGTGGTGTCTCACAGAGCACTCTCATGTACTTAAAGCCCTATACAAGGAGAATCGACAGTATGAGAATGCATGTAGGATACCAACCTCCGAAGATTCAGCAATTTGACGGAAAAGGTAACCCCAAGCAACACATTGCCCATTTTGTCGAGACTTGTAACAATGCCGGAACAGAGGGGGACTTACTAGTCAAACAATTTGTCCGGTCCCTTAAAGGAAACGCGTTCGAGTGGTACACTGACCTAAAGTCAGAATCAATTGATAGTTGGGATCAGATGAAACGAGAATTCTTGAACAGGTTCTATAGCACTCGTCGTACTGTTAGTATGATAGAGTTGACTAACACGAAGCAATGGAAGGATGAGCCTGTAATCGACTACATTAATCGGTGGAGAGCCCTCAGTCTTGAATGCAAAGACCGTTTGTCAAAAGTATTTGCTGTGGAGATGTGTATGCAGGGAATGCATTGGGGTCTGCTCTACATTCTGCAAGGCATAAAACCTCGCACATTTAAGGAATTGGCTACGCGTGCCCATGACATGGAGATCAGTATGAAATCCCATGACGGCAAAAGTCCCATGACTATAGAACTACGCAAAGATAAGAAGGACTGGAAGAAGGGCGACAAGTCATCAAAAAATGCGGCTAAAGATTCAATGGTTATCTCAACCACCCCAATTAAGATATCTGTTAAAGATGACAAGAAGGATGATAAAAAGCCTCGCCAGTTTCAAGAGAGGGAGAGACAGCGTCCTACGCTAAAGGAGTTAGAGAAGAAAGAATACCCCTTCCCCAATTCCGATGTTCCTGGTATCTTGGAATGTTTACTTGAAAGTAAAGTTATAGAACTCCCTGAATGCAAACATCCTCCAGAGATGGGACGTATCAACGATCCAAAATACTGCAAATATCATCGCATTATCAGTCATCCAATTGAGAAGTGTTTTATCTTCAAGGAGGTGGTGATGAATTTGGCAAAACAAGGAAAAATCTTGTTGGATATAGACGAAGTTGTAACTTCAAATCATACTACTGCTACTTTGACAACCTCTGTCGTGGGGAGTGCTCGTTCTCAACCTTTAACTTCGGAGGTATCTTGCACAACTATCCAGTTTGGTTCATTAGAACCAATCCCAATCTATATTGGCCAAGGGAGTGTACGTGACATTTCAACATTTGGAAGGGTTTTTCCTCAGGATGATGAAGAAGGATGGACTCTGGTGACAAGAAAGAAACCATGGAAGCAACAAGCTGATATTTTTCAGACTAATTATTCTGACAGAGGGCAAAGGAAGAAGAAACCCCAATATCACCATAAACAATCTGGCCATAACAGAAAATGGGTCAAGAAGACACAGTCA